TTAGAATACTGTGCATGTCTTTTCTTTTATGCGGTGTCTTTTCTTTTCCCTTGATCTCTAAGTCAGCCCAAGTAAATAAATACCTGATGGACTGCAAACTGATGGGCTAATGCAAGAGCACAGGTTTCTTCCCCCTGACCTGTAATTTTCTTTTCTCTGTTCCACACCTGCTAAGTCCCACTTCATCAAGTGTAAGTTTCAACATTTCTTCAGGGAATTCTTTCTTTAGCTCCTGGACTAGATTAGGTTATTTGTTGTATAGACTCAGAAAATCTTACACTTTTCTTTGTAAAACTCACAATGTAATATTGGGCTTCTTTTCTGATTTTCAAATTATAAGAAAAGAATTGTGTTTGCACCACACACAGGTATATTCCAATAAAGTACACAATGCTTAAGATATAACTGATATTCAATAATTGTCTGTTTGAATAAAAGAATAAATGCACAAAATAGTTGATAAAAACACATGAAACTACTGTTTAAAAGGCTACCAAATTTATTCCTGTATTTCTGTTGATTTTGGCTACTAAATGCAACTAAAATCAATAGGGATATTGAGAAATATTATTTAATAAAGTTGTAAATTGGACTGCTTATTAAATCAATAGGCTCAGCAAATTTTCTTTAGCTCAGGCAAACTATTGATGGACACAGAGCTTAACAGAATGGAAATGATACGGATAAAAAGACTGAAAATCTGTAAGGTTTTAGTAATTTCACTGATGGCATCCTACAGACACAGTTACCTGGGAACATGTCATTATCAGAATAGAAAGTAAGACTCACTTTTTGCTTCAGAAAATACAGAATACTCAGAAGCCTCACTACATTTTAATACAATTCCAAATTTATTTAGTTCTTTGAAATTTTAAAAATACATGTGCATTAAAATATCCTTATTATCAGAAATACCTATATTTTTTTATCATATTAATTGTATATGAAGTCTTTCCTTAAGTGACAACTGAGAATTGGTTCCAGAACTCCCCACAGATACCAAAATCCTTGGATGCTAATAGGCCTCAGATGTCCTTACATAAAATGGCGAAGTATTTGTATGTAGCCTAAGCACATCCTCCAATGTACTTTATCTCTAGATTACTTAAAATACTTAATGCAATGTAAATAGTATGTAAATAGTTGTTACACTGTATTATTTAGGGAATGATGACAAGCAAAAAAAAAAAAAAAAAATCTGCGCATGTTGAGTACCAATGAAACCATCCGATATTTTTTTCCTGAATATTTTTCATCCGTGGTGAGTTGAATCCATGGGTGCAGAACCCTATCACATGGAGGTCCAACTGTATATCAAATATCATATTTTATGGTGTATTTTCTAGCATTTAATTTAATTACTGGCAATATGGCACATAACAAATACATCCAAAGTTTTTGATATGTAGTTTTTGAATTTATTTAAAGCAATCCAGTAATGCCTCCTTTAATGAGGATTGCTGAAAGCAAAGTCTAAAAAAGGCTGACTCCATCTATAAGCAGTAGGTCTAATCCAAAAGTGTAATGACAGATGGGTTGCATAATGGGTTATTTCAATGATAGGAGTAATGCAAACATACAATTCTGTAATCATTTATATTTTAATAGTATTACATTCTTTTAACCATCTTCATCTTGTATAGAATCTCATTGTATATTAGAGTACTACTGTTAGAGCAATAAGGAAGAATGGATAAATACGGCCAGTTTTTTGTTATTGTTTTGTTTTGTTCTATTTTTGAGAAAGGCTCTCACTCTTTCTCCCAGGTTGGAGTGCAATGGTGAGATCACAGCTCACTGCAGCCTCAACCTCCCCAGATCAAGCAATCTTCCAACCTCAGCCTCCCAAATAGCTGGCTACAGGCTGCACCATCATGCCTGAGTAATTTTTTTTTTTTTTTTTTTTTTTTTTGGAGAGACAGAGTCTCAATCTGTTGCCCAGTCTTGTCTCAAACTCCTGGGCTCAAAAGATCCTCTTACCTTAACCTCAAAAATTGCTGGGACTAGAGGCACAAGCCACCATGCCAGGCTTAAATACAGCCAATTAAACTGAAGTTTAAATTATTTGTGTTTCATTCTCTTTCATTATAAGAATAATCTGTGTCTTCAAATGTGTTCTTGAATATGAAATACTTTATGATTGCACCTTCATAAGAATAGTTCTTAATGTTTAAGAATAATTCATGAAAATATGAAAATTCATTCATAAAAAAATGACTAGAATTAATAGAAGGAATACTAGATACAGGCAGTGGATAATCAAATTTTAAGTGCATTATCTTATTCTGTCCTCACAATTATGAGAGAAAGTGATCCTCCCACCTCAGCCTTTCCAAGTACTGGAATTATAGGCATGAGAGACCATGCCTGGCTTAAATATTACCAATAATTTAAACTTCAGTTTAATTGGCTGTTCTTATAAGTTTGTGAGAGAAATATATTTCTCTTATAATTGTGAAGCCTGGATGAGATAATGCACATACAACCTCCACTGATAGGGTAGAATCTCCACCTCGGAACAGCAGGTCTAGGGTTTCTATGCCCAAGTTTCCCACTGGTTGTATCCTCCATCCCTCAAAGGATAAGACAAAACACCGGGGGACACCATCCCCCTACCTACCCCAGCACAGACTTGTAGAGTGTGTGTGAGTGCTAGAGAAGCCACTGTCAACTCCTTTGCAGTGATGCAGAGATTCATCTAGGAGGACTGACAGGCCAGAAAATCTGAGAGCTTTGCTCAGTGCCTCACAGTAATGATTGATTTTGAATTGGTCATGAAAAGGTACATTCCCAAGGGCATTGTCAAAAGCAATGGAGACCTTGGTTAGGAACATTAAAGAGGAGCTTGGAATCTTTAGCATGCTTTGTAGCAATAAATAAACTTCTGACAGCCAGCCAGAAGTTTACCAGAGAAAACCAGGCAAAGAGAAAGCCAAGAAAAGATGTCTTAGGGTCCCCAATTTCTGGAGCTCCGGATCTGTTAGACTGCACCTACTCTAGAGCAATCAAGGTGGAAATAGTCAAATTTGTAAGCATTCCCCAAGCTAACCACTGATTCGTCAATAAAGAGCCTTTAGCCCTACTGACTGAAGAGCTAAAGCACAAATTCTGAGTGAACACTGGGTGAACAATAAATTATTCTATTCCAGGGAGTGATTCCTAGAAGCTAGAATTAAAAATAAATTCACAGTCATCTCTTGTGATCTGGAAACCTGACCAAGGACTGCCTTAGCAGTTACCAGAGAGAGGACCTCTGAGCTGTTAGTCCACTGAATGTGGGATGTAACTGTAAACTTCCTGACCAGTGAAAGCTGTCTCCAAGCCACACATACATTCAATGATAAAGGATAAAATCTAACTGGGAGGGTTAGTCCCAACTTTTGAAATACAGAGTTAGGTAGAAATAGAGATAAGTAAATATGGATATTCCTGACTTTAATGTTTAACTGAATTTATGGCAAATATTTATCATCAAGAATATGTTCACCTCAGAAGCCAAAAGTGTACCTACTCTCAAATTAAATTTGCATATATATATGTGTGTGTATATATGTATATATTTCAAAGTAGTCATTTATATATTTTTCAACTTGTAAGCTAATTTTCCAAGCACTGTTCTTTTATCTGTGAAGTATGTGTGTGTGTGTGTATATGTGTGTGTATATATATTCTAGTGAAGTATAAACCAAAGTGCTTTCCACATGAGTGACTTGCAGATAATTTTATACAATATATATTTTTAAATTTCAAGTTTTATTTTAGATGCAGGGGGTACATGTGCATATTTGTTACATGGGAGTATTGCATGATGCTGATGTTTGAATACAGATCCTGTCACCCTGGTAGTCAGCATAGTACTCAATAGGTAGTTTTTAAAAAACGTATTATTATTATTTATTAATGTGGAGAAGAGCCTTCTAAAGGCAGCTGCAAATGTCCTTGTCATGCAGAGGCAGCAGTGGTCAGGAGCTCTGCTGACCAATGCTTTAGGTGCCTATTTACAAGCATGACATTCTGAAAAAAATGGCAGGAAACTTCAGGGAAAAAAAAAAAAAAAAAAAAACTTTCCTTCCAAAGTAGGTATATTCTGACACTCACATCTTCAGGCTGTTGCCTCTGTTGGAAGTGAGAGGATGGCTGGTTTCTGGCAGTGTGACACCATGTGCACGCTCCTAGGCTCATGGAGCAGACTGAAGAGCTCCCTCCAAGACAAGCTTCCCACAGCCCTCCCCTTTTTTCTTCAGAAAATGTGTATCTTCCTTTTCAAGACACCACTTAAAGTCTATTTTGTTCCTACTCCTAGAAACAGTCAAAAAGAGCCCCATACTGGTCATTTTATAAATTAATGTAATTTTAAAGCAGTGGGACATTAAGGCATTATTTGTCTCTCTGGCCTTTGTTCCTTTTCTGCATACTGCAATCATTCAAGGACACCTTACACCTTACCATGTCCATGACACCGCTTATGACTAGTGCCTAGAAGACTGAACATCACTTGTGCCCACGTGCAGATAGAGAGAAAGCCGTCCAGTCACATTACCACTTTTGTGGAAGGCACTCTTATAAAATTCATCAGCCAGATCTGCTATTGTAAACACTGGGTCAAAACCGTGGTTGACTTCAAAGTGTTCTCAGAAAGTCTGATAATACACTATTAAAAGAAAATTTTCTGTCTGAAAAACCTGAGTGGTGGCAACCTTCAACTGGCCTCTGCATTTCCTCTGCGTTGAAGCGTCCAAGAGATGGGATCCTTTGCAAAAGAAGTTCTAACTGCCACTACGGTTGTTAGAAAACATGAAATAATCCCTCTGCTCTCCAGGTTACTGAAAGCTATGCAAAACAAGGTTGTTTCTTACTGACAGGGAGGAAAAAAATGGGTAAGAAAACTTTTAAGGCATAAATAATATAAAAGGCCACACATTTTAAGATACATTCATATGACATTATACTATAACTAAATAATGATTTTCTCTGATTTGAATTAAAGTCCTTCACACAGTTCATTCACAGGCATGTTTTGTGCAGTTAGTTACAGGATTGAAGTCGGAACATGACTGGTTGTTTGCATATCCTCTGGTTTCCTGGGGCTGCTGGAGGACCCCTGAGGGGCTGTCCAAAGGAACACCAGGAGGAGGCCATGTTGTCTTTTCAGCACAGTCCTCTGAGATAGGTGGCAAAATAAGAAGATTCCAATGTAAAGTGTTGCTGTCCATTTCTGAAGAGACACAGCTGTCTCCTCTGATGAACTCTTCTGGATCTTCTATGTGATTAGAGCTGACATTGTTTCTATTATCCTGACAGCAAGTATGCTGAGTAGAGATTGGTTCCACATTGTTCTTGATGCTCTCCTGAGGTAACTGGCCACAATCAGGGACGCAGAAGCCAGGCATATGGGCATCTTCATTTGACTGAGGGGCCTGATTCCCACACCGTACTGAGGACAAGGTGACACCCTAGAGACCACAGGAAGAGGGATACTGCTGAAATTGCTGTTGGTTTTGGTGAAACAGTTATTGTTGTTTCAACAATTTTGACAGTTAACACATTCCAGAGGGTCAATCTGAGGCACCCCTATGTACATTCCACCACCGTTCACTAGATAATGAGGCTGTTCAAAATCCACGTGTCCTGGTTACAGAGTTGGTGTGCCCAGAGTAAAGTCCTCCATTTAAGCTCCCATTCACAATTACATTGATTCCATTGAGGACCTTATGGTGAAGGTGGGAACAGCCACTGCTGAGACTGCCATGGCTCAGGAAGCCTCCATGAACATTTCCATTTATCTCATTTGCTCCTGAGACAGTGGTGTATTCCACCATCCGCCCATTAATATCGGATCCCCGGTAGAGATATGCCAGTGGGTCATATTTCTGTATGGTATTCTACTGGTGATTCTTCCACAGGCACATTGCAATAAAAAGCCACAAAAATAAGGACCATGACACCCAGCATATGGTCAAGGATCAGATATAACATGTCACTGCTTCTGGCAGGGCTGGTTACAGGCCTCATATTTCCTTCATTTCTGAGGAATTCAGAGGGATACTCAAGCCTTTCGGATACTCAGAAACTCCAGAAACACGTTTTACTGTAGTCTTGCAGATTGTCACATTGCTAAACTCACTCTTCTCTTTCACTGAAGCACTGCATTTTAATGCCATAGGAAGTTTCTGACAGCAGATGGCCAATCATGTGCTACTCCTTTGAATCTCCTACTACATCCCTCTTGTAATCACTGTCATTGTCACTATCTGATGGTCGGCAATAGATATAAAAGAATGGAAGTGTTATTGTTACTTCATGGAATGTATGTCCACTTTAGCACTATCTGGGTGACACTGACAGCCTCTGTGTATACAATGTGAGTTCCATTATTGGATGGTTGAAAAAATGACTGGGGAACCCAGCCACCTGATAAGGACAAGACTCTGGACTCCTAAAACTCCCCGATGATGGATAGCAATGACTTGCAATTTGTATGTTGAACCCAGTTCTAAACTATGAACTTCCACGGATATTTTGGAAGCAAGGATATCTTCAGCTGCCACCAGTCAATCACTGGTCCTCATCCTTTTATATTTAACTTTGAAGGCAGTGATTGGAGAAACCCAATTTTCCAGGAGAATCCAAGTGACATAGACCAATGTCTCTGATGCATTGGAGATAGCAAGGCCATCTGGTGCCTCTGGAACTTCGCTGTGCCTTCAAGAATCTGTAAGTACCACTCCAAAATTGTTTGCAGCTTCTGAAACAACAGGATACTTAGGGATGCCCATGGGTGGAGAGAATGCCTGGGTGTTTTTTGTCAATGCTGTTTTTTCTTTGCTGGTTCAGAAGGTAAGCATGGCAGTTTGTCCTTCACCTGCTCCACTTCTTGTTACTATTAGGACTTTGTAAAGACTAGATGGCCCTACTTCAGCTAAATGGAGCTCATTTTCACTCCCTGGGACTTGAACTGTATGTCAAATTCCTACCAAACCAACCCCATTGTTCAGCTTTTGATATGTCATAAAATACCCATTAATGGATAGCCCACCACTCCTGCCTGCGCTCCACACCAGCTTGTACGTATCTGGTGTGTGGGTCTGTCAGGGGATCAGTATGATGTGGGCGACAGGAACAGCGATGCCATTAACATTTTTCTCTGATGCTGATTCCACTGCACTGGGATGTACCTTAACTGGACATGAGCTCAATTCAGTTTCTGAACCATCCCTTTTATTTCTTTTATCATTCTGAGTAGCAGCAGAAAGTATGACTCTTTCCACTTCTGTATTTGTTTCAAAAGGAACAACCATGAGAGATGCTTCTCCCTGCGTGGTATTGTGTCCATCTGGAGCTTCCCATATGTGTTTCCCCACATGTTTCTGAGTCACATCCTAAATATGAAGAGAGTTTGAGTCAACTTGGGACATGAGGAAGTAGCCAGGCTTCAGGTCCAAGATTGCAGACCTTGATAAGTGTTACTTTTGGTACTTAGGTCTAAGGACTTAAGCAAGATGGCAGGCTATTAACCCATAGCTGTCATAACCAAGGAATGACCAAAACTGGCAGCCCAGTGGCATGGCAGGACAGAATGACAAAGTCTCCACCTCTCACCTTTGCACTTGCTGGTGCCATGATTATAACTGGTTTGAATCCATTGTCTTTTTCAATTTCAAGTCTTCCAGTAGACTGCATAAATCCAATCCCATTATCTGCTAAACACTGATACAGCCCAGTATCTTCCATAATAACCCCACTGACTTTCAGTCAATTTCCTGCAATTAGATGTCATGGGGAAGGATGAATAGGCTGTGCAATATAAAACCAGGTATGGCAGGCAGGTGGGTTTCCATGAATATGACTGGCAACATGTACTGTGGCACCAGAGACACTATCTGATCCTGTAGTCCTTTAGAAATGGTAGCATATTCAAGCACATTAACCATGTATGTTACATATTTCACATCTCCAGTCTTGTTTCCCACCACGCGGGAATAGTTTCCAGAGTCCACTGGGTCAATGCTACCTGTGGCAACATAAGAATACAACCTTCTCCAGTTGCTTCCTGGGGCAATATCCTGCTTGTCCTTTAGCCAACACACTTGAGGAGCTGAGACCCCACTAACCACACACTCCAAGGTTAGAAGAATACGTGAAAAAACAACTAATACCTGTGAACAAGCAGGATGAAGAATGTCAAAATCATCTGAAGAAAGGTGACTCACAAGGAGCTTTTGGCCAATGGGTTCAACTTTTATTTCATGTGTGACAGGATTATAAGCCGCATATTTGTATGATTTCTTGTCCTCTAAGGATATATTCAAAATTTAAAGATGTCTCGATAGAAGGATTAAGTAATTCTTTGTGGAATGCTTCAGCCACTTTCCCTGGATTTTAGAGCACACCTCAGCTTTGGGGTTACTCTCTGGTTCACTGCAGCCAATGAAAACAGCACTTTTTTCTTCTGCTGTAATAACATGCTTTGTGGGTGAACAAAAATCGCCAAGAACTGCTGTGGACACTGTTACAGGGCCACTTACAACAACATCGACCTATTGTTGAAAATGCATTGGTAGTAACCCAAAAGGGAGGAGTTAAGATAAAACAATTGTCAAAATCCCCTGATGAATCTTAATATATTCCATATTTCTCTTCTATTTTTTACATTATGCGACCTTGAGATATGAGTGGTCACAGGTTTAGCAGAACAATAGAGTTCTATAGGTTCACTAAGTTTCTGGACGGCAGAGAGTGGCTCAGAAATGAAATAAGGTGCCACGTCTGAACTAACAGAAGAGCAGAGAATCATAAGAGTAACATACAGTGTCCATAAAAGGCCAAGATCTGGATGCAAGCACCAGATTATAGAAGCAGGAAGGGCAGACTTCCAGAGTAAAATCCAGGCCTTGGTTCATTTTCCAAAATACTGCAGACCGGGTAATCAAACACATTCTTTAACCTTGACTCCTTCCTGTTTACTAAAGACTTTGACAAGGGACAGTCTTCATGTTGTCCACAGGGTGTCTCCCAATATGAGAGTAACAGCTGGCTTACATCTTCAGTGATTCAAGTCTGCAACGTGTATACGCTTGTACTTGGGAGGGAAAGCAGAGAAGCCACTTTCTGTACCTAGCCTGGAGTTCACTTCAGTGCTGTAAGCATCATCGCAGTCCTGCTTGTAACAAAGTCCGGTCTAGCAATCTGCCTTTGAGTTGAGCTTTTCTCTTACAAGATAAGCTGTTAAGTCATGCCTTGATTTCAGGTCTCTCCATGGGGCGAGCTAAGCAACTAGAGCTCCTGCGTGACAGCCAGCTGGGAAAGCCATCCCTATGTCACGCCCTCCCGCGTGCAGCCGCTGTGGTGGCGGCTGAGATCTGAAAGGGGCGTCTCCAGGCTGGGCACATGGCAGAGGAGGGTGTGGTGCTTCGCACACCAGGGCAGAAGCGCTGGGTAGCTCAGGCAGGTGCGGTGTCCCAGGTCTCCTCGCACCGAGAGGCCTGAGCCAGGCACCCGGGCTCAGGGGAGGGTAAATGGCGGGGCGGAGCGACAGGACGCGCCCCTGCGGCTGTGCTTCTCTGGGCAGAGGCTTGAGGGCAGGTAACTCGGTGGGCACAAGGCCTACCAGGAGCAGAAGAGGAGCAGGAGGAGCGATCCAGAGAGAGACAGGCGAGACAGGCTGTAGAGACCGCCCCGAGAAGGTAGTTTTTTTAACCCATCCCTCTCCCTCCACCCTCAAGTAGTCCAGAGTCTATGTTTCCCATACTGATGCCTATGTGTGTTCAGTGCTTAGCTCCCGCATGTAAGTAAGAATACATAGCATTTGGTTTTCTGATGCTGCATTAACTGGCTTAGGATTACAGCCTCCAGCTCCATCCACATTTCTGTAAAGGACATGATTTCATTCTTTTTTATGGCTGTGTAGTATTCCATGGTGTATATGTACCACATTTTATTTATACAGTGTGCCATTGACGGACACCTGGGTTGATTATGTCTTTGTTATTGTGCATAGTGCTGCCATGAACATAGGAGTGCATGTGTCGCTTTAGTAGAATGATTTATTTTCTTTTGAGCATATACTAAGTAATGGGATAATTGTATCAAATGGTAGTTCTGTGTTAAGTTCTTTGAAAAATCTCCAGACTGCTTTCCATTGTGGGTGGACTAATTTACATTTCCACCTGCAGTGTATAATAATCTTATGCTGTCTTTAGTTTACAAAATTTCTACTAGACTCAGCTCAGGGCTGCAGCCCTGACTGCAGCAGGTGCTGGGGCTTCCCTAAGTAGATACTGCGCACAGGTAGAGAGAGAGCTCAGATCCCAGGGCTGGGAGAAGAGAAGCAGAGGAAGGAGTTAAGGAGAGGGCCACATTTGGATGCCCTGAGGAGGGCTGATAGACAGATATAAGGAAGGTGGCACTGTGCTAGTCACTGGTGACATCCTCCTAGTTCCAAAGTCTTCTGGAAAGCATGAAGCCTCACAATTCCCAAACATGCTGCCGTTCTGGAGGGCACAGGGCTACTATTCTTCCCAGCTTGATTCTCTTCTCCCAATAAACATGGGACTCTGGAGCCAGGAGTCAGAAAGATTTATCTTCTACCAATACAAACTTTAAACCTTCAATTTGTGATTAAATCACACACACATGTGCAGGCACACACACCAGTCTTTCTGTGTAATAAATTGTCCTTAGTTAACACTAGGCAGATCTGTGATCGGTGATCATCTATCTCTACCCTCCTGGGTAACAAGATTAGTGAATTGATTGGTAAAATTTTTACTCCTGGAAACTAGTGTAAAAACTGGTTCCTAATAAATTTTGCAGTATGAAAATATACTATCACGAAGCAGACCCATGGTTAACAACTTTGTAAAACCAATATATATCCCCTCGATAAAATACTTGATTGCTAATGTGTTGGCTGCTGGATTTCTCACAACAGAGAAACATTTTCAGAGTTCTTCTTCCCTGCTAAGAAAACGTTTCTCTTTTGTCTCCTGGCCTCTATATGTCTGAGGATCCCCTTGCTATGTCATCTGGTAACTTTTCGTTTTATTTTTTCCATTTATAGTTTTGGACCAGCCCATGTCATATTTTCCTCCCATTTCTCCCTATAAAGCTATGAATTTTGTATATATAAAAAAGAAAATGGCAAGAAGAGAGGAAGAGGATATCAGTGAAGAGGATGTCATGCTGGACACTGTGTTGTTCTTGGCACACACTGCACACAATCCTCACTGCAAACTGCAGGGTGGGTTTTATTCTCACATTTTTCTTTGATCTATCTAATAATGGAAGGGGAGAGTAACACTATCAGTGTCCCTCCTGTAGTAAAATGCAGATTTTTTTTTTTTTTGAGACAGGGTCTTGCTCTGTTGCCCAGGCTGGAGCATAGTGGTGCAATCATAGTTCATTGTAACCTCAAACTTCTGAGCTCAAGGGATCCTCCAACATCTGCCTCCCAAAGCACTAAAATTATTTGCTCAGCTAATGCTGGATCTGAGGACCAATTCTACCCTTATATATGCAAATTTTTTCCATAGCTTTACTTACACATTTAGTTAAACATTTTCCAAATTAAAACATCTTAAAGCTAAATAAAGTCCTATTTAATTTTCTATTATTTTATGTCACATTTTAACAGCAAATCAACATGAGTTGCAGTTAAAAACATAACATAAAATAATAGAAAATTAAGTTAAACTGTAACTCAATATGATTTGCAGTTAAAATGTAACATAAAATAATAGAAAATTAAATATAGTTATCTAAATAAACGTTAAACAGAAACAATAAAATATCCTTAAAAGAACAGTATTCCTATAATTTTCTTTCTTAATTTTTAAACAACAGAATAAAACAGATAAACTTCACAATTTAACTGAAAACTGATTTACAAATTATCTGAAAACACTAAGCAAAGCCACTAAAACTTTTTCCAGCCACAGTTATGACAGCCAGCCTTGAACAGCTTTAGAGTAACCAACACGTGTTTTGTCTATTCTCAGGTTAGAGCAGCAGGACCCTCAGCTGCCAACCAGTGGGACATGACAATGCCAAGAAGTCTGGGCCACAAATCAGGCCATTGCTCTGAAAATTTGCTGTAGCTGCTTTGGAGCTGGAAACCAAGGTTCCCAACACTACCCATGGGCAGAGGGGTTAGGTACCTGGTCAGTTACCTCTCTCACCCCTCTCACTCCTGCATCAAGCAAGGAAATAACCAGGAATCTCAGTCACAGGAGGGCTGCTGTGTATAGATGTCTGTTTGTGGCAGGGGTTCAGGGTGTTCATGCTGCAGAAGACAAGCTGGAATCGCCCTCCACTCCCATATCTACCCAATCAAGGGCTCTGGTTCCTTTCATAAACCTGCCTCTAGTCTTTACCACCTTTCCCTTTTCCTATCCCCTTTCTAATTGCTAGTGAGACTGTGCTGAACCTGCCTGTCTGATCCCTGGACATTATATCCCCATTCTCCAGGCCTCTATTCACCACCAAAATAACATGGTACAAAAATAACATGGTATAAAAATAGACATACAGACCAATGGAACAGAATAGAGAACCCAGAAATGAACCAAAATATTTACAGCCAACTGACCTTTGACAAAGCAAACAAAATTATAAAGTGGGGAAAGGACACCCTATTCGACAAATGGTCCTGGGGTAATTGACAAGCCACATGTAGGAGAATGAAACTGGATCCTCAACTTATATAAAAATCAACTCAAGATGAATCAAAGACTTAAATCTAAGACTTGGAACTACACAAATTCTAGAATATAACATTGGAAAAACCTTTCTAGATGTTGGCTTAGGCAAGGATTTCATGACCAAAAACCCAAAAGCAAATGCAATGAAAACAAAGATAAATAGCTGGGACTTAACTAAAGAAATTTTGCATGGCAAAAAGGATGGTCAGCAGAGTAAACAGACAACCCACACAGTGGGGGAAAATCTTCACAATCTATTCATCTGTAAAAGGACTAATATCCAAAATCTACAATGAACTCAAACAAATTAGCAAGAAAGAAAACAAACAATCTTAACAAAAAGTGAGCTAAAGACATGAATAGACAATTTTCAAAAGAAGATAAACAAATGGCAAACAAACATAAGCAAAAATGCTCAATATCACTAATAAGGAAAATGGAAATCAAAACCACAATGTAATACCACCTTACTCCTGCAAAAATGGCCATAATCAAAAAATTAAAAAAAGATGTTGCCGTGGATGCAGTAAAGAGGGAACCCTTCTACACTGCTGGTGGGAATGTACACTAGTACAACCACTATGGAAAACAGTGTGGAGATTCCTTAAATAACTAAAATAGAATTACCATTTGATGAAGCAATCCCACCACTTAGTATCTACTCAGAGGAAAATAAGTCACTATAGGAAAAAGATATTTACACACACATGTTTATAGCAACACAATTTGCAACAGCAAAAATGTGGAACCAACCCAAATGCCCATCAGTCAACAAGTGGCATAGATAGATATTGTGACATAGATAGATAGATAGATAGATAGATAGATAGATAGATAGACAGACAGACAGACAGACAGACAGAGGAAGGAGTTCTCAGCCATAAAAAGGAATGAATTTGGCATTTGTAGTGACCTGGATGAGATTGGAGACTGTTATTCTAAGTAAAGTAACTGAGGAATATAAAAACAAACATCGTATGCTCTAACTCATAAGTGGGAGCTAAGTTATGAGGATACAAAGGCATGAGAATAACACAGTGCACTTTGGGGACTCAGGGGGAAAGGATGGGAAGGGGGTGAAGAATTAAAAAACTGCAAATTGGATGCAATGTATACTGCTTGGGTGATGGGCGCACCAAAATCTCACAACTCATGTAACCAAACACCACCT